ATTTTCTAACAGTTCTAAGATTAAAATAATCTCTCTTAATCTGAATTTTTTTTCTGCCTTATTTTATACTGGGAAAAAAGATTTATCTGCAAATCCAGTGTGGTGCAGGAAATATGTTTATAAAGGAGACAAATTCAGACCAGCAGCACCTGTAATCCATGCGTCCTTCTTGTCATAGGTAAAGCTACCTGAAAATTCTTAAAGAATGATCCTGCAATGAAAAATGCTGTTTAATTGAAAGTATGATTTATGGGAACAAATCAATTTTTCTAATACTTACAATGAGGAGAAGCCAAAACATTTCATTGCAACTTAATCAGTGCATTACAATGCTAGACTGCAATCTAGACTAATAGATTAAAATGTTCATTGTAATAGCAGACACTGTTAAGTATGTAGCATTTTTCCTGCAATATAAAATTCAAAGTGATATATTTAGAACATATTTTTCCACTGATTCCAAATATATTTTGTCCTTTTTTTTGCTTGGGAAATTTCAAAATGTTTTCCCTTGTTGTAATATGGAACAATTTGCAAGCCTTGGGCATTCTCCACTGAGAAGATGCTCCTATTCTTGTGTACTTTCATCTGAAGGAGAGGGACCCAGAGGCAGCACTGTCTCAGAGCACAGTAAGACACCCACCTGCTGCACCACATTGTGTGACTGGGCTGCTTTAGTGCCAGAGGCCCTCTTTCCCAGGCACAGGCTGCAGGCCACAGTCTGCTGCAGTCAAGATCTTCTGTGGCTATAGAGCTCCACCTGAGATTTGTGCCATCAAAGCTGAGCAGGGTTATCCCCACAACAACACCTGAGGAAGAAGTTATACCCACATCAGACCAAATGACTCACAGTCTGTTCCTGGATGCAGCTCCACCCTCTGTGCCCTCTCCACAAGCATCTGAGTGATCTCAGCCAGCCTTGGTCTGATATCAGCATACAACAGTCATTCTGGATACGCTGCTGGAGAGAAGCAGGCATCTCCAGAGATTGTCTCATCCAAAGACACAGGGCTGGATCCCTTCTCAGAAGTGCTGTTTCTCACCATTGGGTAGACAGGAGGAGTTGAAATTTCATCATACACAAAATCCCTGGGATTTGGATGGCTGCATTAAGGGGCATCTGATTTTTGCACAACCCACTATTGCAAGGTGATGTCACCCCCAAAAGCACTTGTGAAAAACTAGAAAGTTTCAAAGGTGTGAGTTACAGCACGATCACATAGATTCTGTGCACTGGAACCAATGAGGCAACCTCTGAAACAGGGATGGGCAACATGCCACAGCAGAGATTTACACAGGACCTTCCTAAACTGGCTCTTTCACTGAAGGACTCATCATATGGCACTGTGCCCTCAAAGGAAAAGTTCTGATACAGAAAATCCTTAAGTATCTGTGCAACTTTAAGCATGTGATTCAGATATGTAATACTTGTCCTCTGTGTCAAGCAGAGCTGGTGCCAGTCAGCAGTGCTGGCAGTGACCAGGCAGAGAAATGACACTGGAATGTGCCCCGTGTGAGACCACCATGGATGGAAGTGCAGTCAAGTCTCCTCTGCCTGATCTGCCAACAAAGCGCTTCACTTCTCTCTGCTGCCTGTGATCTTTCAGGAACTCCTGCAACCTCCGATTAGGCTTCAGGAAAAATTAGGAAGACAAAAGCAATGGTTGTGATTGATCAAATATCTTGTTCTGAGGAGATGACATAGGAACATAATGTTCACAGTCCCTAAAAATCTGTAACCAGAAACTCTCCAAAGTGGCTTGAGGAGATTTCAATACCACTTTAATAAAGGGAATCACCTGCTGAGATTTAAGTCACCTCTTGGAGAGGAACACAAAGTACAAAGCATATATATAAAAATAATGACATAAATGGTCTTCAAGGCTCCATAACAGGAAGAAAAAATCATTGTCAGGTTTGTCAAGTTGTTAGAAGTTGTATCCTAAATTCTGTATTTCGATTCATTAGATTTCATTCTTCTTCCCCTGTAATAAATGTCCAAATCAGTTCTCCATTGTCCCATGACTGCAGCAAGCACAGCCCTGGAGAGACAGTGAACCTGAGGAGTATGGGAGTTGATGTGTTGGTGGTCAGTCTTGCAGATGGAGCGGGTCACATGTACAAGGCTGCTTTGGGGCAAAACCATCCCCATGACCCCATGGTAAAGGAGAATGGGATGCCCTACATCAGCACTATTGCCAATCCCACACTGGGGGCTTCTGCCCCACAGCACAGCAGAGGCAGTTCAACTGCCTCCACATGCAGTGCTGAGAGGGATTTGTGTGACTCAGGTCTCCTCTGGCCCGGGGTGCTCTCATCTCCTGTGTTTTATTGCTTGTGAGAGTTACCAGATGTACCTGAAGACATGACCTGCATTTCCTCCTATGGCTGTTGAACTACTTCTGGATTTAACTGTTTCCAGTAAAGATGCTACAGCAGGAATTCTTGAGGAGTTTGACTTCCTACAAAAAGCCAGGGTTTATTAATCACTTCCTCCTTACCATTGTTGTCATGTTTCTATGTGACAATGGCAAGAAAATTTATAGCTGCTTTTCTCTAACAATGAAGACAGTATCTTTACAATAAAAGCAAATGGGAATTATCTCCTAGCCATCCACTCCTCTGCTGCACCAGACTCAGCTTCTCACTTTGATTTTTGCAGCCCCATAGCTCTGGTTTTCCCCCATAGATGTAGAGAGACAGGATTTCTCTTAACCTCCTGTCCCCATCCTCCTACTCTTCTTCCTAGTTAAAGACATGGCTGTGCTGGTTTTCGCTGAGGTAGAATTAATTGTCTTCACCATGGCTAGTATGGAGCTGTGTTTTGGATTTGTGCAGAACTCAGGGTTGATAATATAGAGATGTTTATGTTATTGCTGAGCAGGACTTGCACAGAGCCAAGGACTTTTCTGCTTTCTATACTGCCACAGTGGCAGGGAAGTTGAAGATGTATGGGAGGTTAGGAGGAGACACAGCCAGGACAGATGACCCAAACTGACCAAAGGGATATTCCATACCATATGACATCATGCTTAGTATATAAAGGGGAGGAAGAAGGAGGAGAAAGGGGAGGGAATGTTTGGAGTGATGGTATCCATCTTCCAAAGTCCATTATGTGTGATGGGTCCCTGCTCTCCTGGACATGGCTGAACACCTGCCTGCCCTTGGGAAGTGGTGATTTAATATTTTGTTGTTTTCTTTGCTTGTGTGCGCATCTTTTGCTTTCTCCATTAAACTGGATATATCTCAACCTATGAGTTTTCTTGCTTTTACCCTTCTGAATTTGCTTCCCAATCCTGCTGGTGGGGGAGTAAATGAGTGGCTGTGTGGGGCTTGGTTGCTGGGTGGGGTTATACCATGACATAGCTCATTTCTTTTGCATGCATCCTGTGAGTCAGCAGTGATCAATGATCAAATGCCCTTCGCAGTGGGGAGCAATCGGAGTTAGCTGGCTTGAGACTCTGGCAGCCCTTTCACTTCTGACACCAGCAAATTACATTATGTGTTAAAGTAACATTTTCTTTTTTTCCTAGGCTCCAGGCTGAGTTTGAGGAGAACATGGCTCAGCTTTGATTTTACTCTGCTGTTCAATAAACTATTTTCTTTAAACAAGTTAAAAGAGAATGTTTTTCCCAAGATCTCATTAAATATTTATTTACTATTTAGAACTCTTCAGTAAGTAGCAAAGGTCTCAATTTGGGAAAACACAAAAGTTTCTGTAAAACCAATCTGAGCCTGCTAGTTGAATATTAAAATGCAGTATAGATGAATTAGTAACTAATTCATGCATAATAAAACCCATATGCGTCTAAAAGTAATTAGCCTATTGTTTTGATTCAGGGAATGTTTGCTTAATAGCCTCAATAGCTGCTCACTTTCCCAACGAGATCAAAACTAACATAAATGGAAGTGAGATTCAGATAAAATGAATAATTTCCATAATAAGAAATTCAGATTTTTTTGATGTTTCTGTAGATGGCCTGAAATCACTGAATTTTAGCTTTCCTGTGCCTGGAAAAGCTGCAGTTATTTGGTTAGGGCTAAATAAGCTCCTTAGCTCTCTTAAAACAGAAAGATGGTATTAAAAACACTTGGTAGTGGCTAAGAAGTAACACTGAAGATATCTGCTTATTATAGTAAGGCAAAACTTTGCTCAAGTGTTCAAGTGGATGAAATTTCTGAGGGAGAGATGAGGGATGAAGTATCAGCCCGCTGAGTACACCTCCTCTGCCCTTGTGTGCCAGCCAGAGCCTGTGCCAAGCCCCAGATTTCCCTGTGTACACACACATCCATTGGACTTGATGAGAAGTGGGGTCTTCCAGGTATGAGCAGAGGCCCATTTGTAATATGGGTGTGGGACCTTGTCTAACACTGTTTCTGTGATAATGTCAGGTGTCAGATGGACAATCTGGATGCTGGCCCCAGAATTGTGTGCTGACCAGCATCAGGAATTTCTAGGGAATCAAAGCTTTCATTTCCCCAAACTACTTATTGAACATAATTGCCAGGATCCCCTTCTTAGCACTTCTGCAATGAAAGCCGAGATCTCTGTACCTCTGTTTCTCAAAAAATACACACAGATAGTACCTCTATTTCTGCTCAGCAGCTGTCACCATGTTAGTGGCTACAGAGTTTCCTCATGTCCCTCATGCAGGGTAGGTCATGGACCCTATGGTTTAGTTCTTCATTAAGCTGTGGCACGTGTCATGCTACTTCCCAGCAGACAGTAGGGTCAGTCTCATGTAATCATGGAATCATAGAATCATAGAATGGGTTGGGTTGGAAAGAACCTTGTAAGATCATCTAGTTCCAATCCCTCTGCCATGGGCAGGGGCATCTTTCACTAGACCAGGTTGCTCAGAGCCCCATCCAGCTTGGCCTTGAACACTTCCGGGGATGGGTGTGAGATCCTGGATCTGAATCTCACTGAATTATTGAAATGGGCCGGAACCAACTCACTGAGTGTGTGTGCATGTGGGGAAGGGCTGTGCCAGGACCTGCAGGTCCATGGTAAGGCCTGCACATCAGGCCTGTGCTGAGGGCACAGGGCAGAGCTGAAGGCAAGGCCTGCAGCCCACACAGAGCACACGGCAGAGCTGCAGGCCCTGCAGCCGGGCTGTCAGTCAAGGCAGACCTGCCTGGTAGCCCGCCCACACCACATCCCTGGAGCCTGTGACTGGTTATAGCACAACCCACTCTGGCCTGGAAGGCACTGACCGGATATCCTGCCTGGGAGGGAAAACTGAACTCTATAAATACACGAAACTCCATGTGGTCTCCCTCTCCTGTCTCTCTTCTCCCTCTCCAGCTGGCACCAAGTGAATCACTGAATCTTGTCAGTAACTATTCTCCCTTCTCTCTCTCCTTCTCTCTTTCTTCTCTCTTTCTTTATTCCTTTTAATCTGTTTTCTTTTACTCTTTTCCTTCTCTTGTGGGTAACTTAAAACCAATGAACTGTGTTTTACTAAAGGTGGTATATGGATTGCTTTTAGCGGGTGTTTCTTGTGGAATGGGTCTTTGTGCTGAATGTTTCAGTGAAATGCTTTTTTCTTGGTTGTGTTTTACTCCTGTAAAAACCTTTTGCCAAAATATCTTATTTTTCTCACTAAATTAAAAAGAATTTCTCTTAGAGAAGAGTGTGTGACTCTTTCTCTGGATGCTAAATAGAGGTTTTAACAAACCAAAAGGCTTTTAAAAATTCTTAAATAAAAATGTAACTGCTCTGGGCAGTTTATAGCTTAATCTGGAGCATAACAATGGGGCATCCACAATTTCTTTAGGCAACCTGCTCCAGTGCCTCACAACAAAGAATTTTTTTCTAATATCTAATCTAAACCTACTCTCTTTCAATTCGAAGCCATTCTGCCTTGCCATATCAATACATACCCTTGTAAATAGTCTCTCTCCATCCTTCTTATAGGCTTCCTTCAGGAACTGGAAGGTCCCAATTAAGTCACCTCAAAGCCTTTTCATTTCCAGTCTGAACAAACCCAATTGTCTCAGTCTTTCCTTGTTGATTTCCCCCTAATCAACTTGGTGATCCTCCTCTGGACTTGCTCCAACAGGTCAGTGTCATGCCTTGTAATGTGACATAACAGGGTATAACACAGTCATCCACAATGGTTTTGCTGTTGCTTTGAGAGGAGTCAGTCTAGATCCAATAACGAAATAGGTTCAGGAGCATTTACTGTTGAATTGCATGGCCCAGGGAATACTCTATAAAAGCCAGAATGGGTCTGCATAGCATAGGGGAACTTCAGCCAATTTCCCTTTCAGTAATTAGTAATATTAGTGCCAGGGGATCTCCTAAGCTAATAACTACCTTAGTTACAGACCAGTCTACTCTAGACTTGTATCTAGAAAACATACCATCACAGTTCAGTTTTACGAAGTTTCTCATTCAATCATAAGCAAAGGTAAAAGAGCTGAAACTCTAAATTTATGTTTCTTTTAAAAATTCTCAACAGTAGCTTTTTATTTTTATGTCAATACTGGAAATGTAAGTCACTCAGGTGCAGAGTAGTCAATGATAATAATTTACTTAGAAGTAGACAGAGGTGGGATGAGATTCAGATCAAGACTGAGATAACTACATTTTTGTGCCTGCATATCGGTAGCTACAGGAGTCTGAAGTGCCTAAGCAGCCTTTCTAGTCAAAATAGTCCTAGAGTCAGTTCAATTTTCTAAACCTGTGGGAATTTGAAACTCCATAGGACAACTAGGAGTTTTGCACAGTAATGGCTGTGGACTTACAATACAGGATAAAAATTTCACGTATTTCTGTAGATATAGTGTCTGACCAGTTTGACTCCTGCGGATCCATAATTCGCGGTGGACACTGGAAATAAGTCCCATTTGTCATAAAAAACCTTCCATCGCAGTTGTCATGGTTCCAGGAAGTCTGAATAATCTTTTGGAAGCAGAAGTCGTCCTTTGACCACAGGGCCAAAAAATGGTTCTCAATGAGCTACCTCTATATTACTGTGAGAGTGACCCAGCGCTGGCACAGGTTGCACAAGGAAGTTGTGGAGTCTCCATCCTTGGAGATAATCAAAAGCGATCTGATCATGTTCTCAGCAGTTGTACCTTGTGTGGTCTTGCTTGAGCAGAGGGGTTGGACCAGATGACCTACAGACGTCCCTTCCAACTTGATTCTGTGATTCTGTGATATTGTGCTCATCTTGAACTGGTCCTGTGGATAACAAGAAGACTTGTTTTTCTAAGACTGCTGTGCTCTGGAATTAAATCTAGTCAATATTATGTATAATTACATCTAATTACATCTATTAACTGAAATTCTTTAAGCCTGAGTACAAAAGCCATTTTGTTATGCTGTTTATTTACAGAGCTACAGCATGGGTGCTGGAAAAGTAGTGGGGTGTGAAGGAAAAAGAACAGAAAGAATAAATGAGAGTTATCTGGCAAGACAGTGAATTTTGGCATCTTTTTTTAGGGGTGTGAACAGTTGCTGCATGCTGGAGAAGATAGGACAAGAACTGTACAAATATGAACTTGCCACAAAACCTCCACTTCATCTCTACCCTGCAGGCCAAGTATCTACTTGGTAAATCCTCAGCCTATAAAAATAATATAGCTGGATAATCTGATAGAATGCTTAAAAGTACTTGGTCTCATAGCTGTTCTTATGGAAAACCAAAGATATTCTTTGACATCAAGATAGCTGTGTTAACACATAGTCTTTGCAGATACAAGGCACTGTGGGTTTTTTTAATCTCACTGTAACTAGTGAGATAAAGATATAAAGCTTGCCTTGAGTAGCTGTGTCAGAGACCTATGCCTTGTCTCTGCTAGATTTTTGTGCTGTGACAGGTCCTTTGAAATGCCTCTCAGTCACAAATCCCTTTTTTCTCTTGCAGTGAAGACACAGAAAATTTACTTGTCATTCAAACAAGATATCACAGTTCCCTTCTTTTCACTTTTCCCTTATATTGTTGCATTCTCTCTCTTTTCTGTGCCTAAGATATTTATTTTTTCCAAAACTTTTGGAACAGACTACTTAACAGTGGCAACAGTGACACTGTACCAAATTGTGCCAAAAACGTTGCCAAAATGTCAATGGCCTGTTAGAAATATGACATTTGCTATATTCTTTACTCCTGAGTGAAGACATTCTTTCTACCAGAGTCGAAATATAAATGCATGTTTTCCCATTGGTAAATTCATTTTAACCAACCTTTTAATGTTGCAGGGGCTTCCGTGGAAGAAGGGAAAGCTTTGGGAGGGCAGGCTCAACAGAACCCCCCAAAAAATCAAAGTCATCCCAACCATGTATGGAGCCTAATTCTGGGATCAGTCACATGTATGTAATTCCTTCAACTTCAGTAGAATTAGTCCTTCATTAAGTAAAGGAGAAAGGATCAGAGTTAAGCTCACAAATATTAATTTAATCATGGCAGATTTACATGTGAAAAGCCACTTGTACAATAGAGCAGAATGATGATCCTACACTCTTTGAAGTGGTCCTAACACTAAGTATTTCTTATCTCCCAGGGGCTCTCTTCACTGCTCTGCGATTTGCATAATACCAAGGTGATAGCTTGCCTTTGATTTGCCTTTGGTTTGGAGGATATACTTAGTTTCCAAAATCAGAATAAGTTAGAAAGAAATTACATTTTGTCTAAAAGTCAGAGAGAGTTTTTCTTCTCTCAGGTTGACATAACCTGCTGGATTTAAAAATTGATAGAGTTGAAAAATGCTGAACACTTTCATTACAGCTGCAGATCAGCATTGAAAACAAGAGGTTATTTTTAGCAGCAAGGCAGCCTTTATTCATATGTCGCTTCACCGAAATATTAAATGGTAATTCACAATTCATGCATTTTGACGTCTTGCTACTTTTATCTTCACTTTCTCATAAAAGAAAATATCTTAAAATTTCAACATTAACACTGTGCTGGGCGTCCTTGGAAGTCACTTGTGTTCTTAAATGGATTGTTCAGTTTGGCCAAATGGCAAGTGGCAGTATATTATTGGCTCATTTTCCATTCCTCACACCCCCCAAATGTATGTTGACTGGAGTAAGGCTTTTGAATATAAAAAGTTCAGAATTTTGCGTGTAAAACAGACTATTTAAGAAGGAATCCAGCTTGTGCTGAACATCTCAAATGCAGGGGTGTTGAGCAGTAGCATAAAGCTTTAGAATCCGTGTGCGTAGCCATTGCTTGTGCTGCTCTGTTTTAAAACTCATCTCATGCTATTTCCACATCAGAAGAAGAGCTGTTTGTTAACAAAGTGTGGCTATTATGTTAAATTCTGACCTTGGATAGATATGTGTGAAATACTGCCAAGCTGCAGTTTTCACATAGTTTTAAAGGGTTCCGTTCTAGCTGAACGCATCGCTGCACTCTTCAGCCAAATTGCTGCTCTGTGAAACTTTTCAGAAAAGGAGGAATACAACATAGATTCAGTTTTCTGTTTTTTTCACAGGGTAGACGTTGACCGCATGTAAAAATCCACTTTCTCAGAAAGGTTTTAACACTGGTATAAACCCTACCCTGTGTCAGACAACACTGCTGGGCAATTAATCAAGATTTTTGTGGGTTTTGTTAATTCCAGGTATATAAAAAAGTTAATGAAGCTGAAAGCTGTTATTAAACCTCTTCATAATTTAGAAATAAAGTATTTCAGAAGGAGGTTTAAATGAGATAATTAGACCTTTGGAAACGTTCTGTAGGGCTAGATCTTACCAGTAGGTTTCAAGAAGTTCTTTGCACAGATTTCGTGTCATAAACAAGCCTGCAAACAGGGGTGAGGTGCTGGCTGTAAGTTTTGACTGCCTAGATTTAGTCTGCAGATTAGTCTGGAGCCCAACCAATGCCCCAGGTGAGGAAAGAAAGGGAGAGTTGTTTTCTCTGGGTGAAGCTTTGCAGGAGGACTTTGTGGAGGAGTTACCACAGTGTGGTGGTGTGTGCTGGAGAGTGTTAGACTATGAACTCCCTCATCTGATCCAAGAGCTATGGCCATCAAAAAGTTTAGCAGAAAGGAGATGAAAATAGCCGTACTAAGGTGTCATCTTCAAAGGGAGCAGGCTTTGCTGTCCAGGGCTTTCTATCCGGTCAGCTGTCCTGCCACAGCTAAATCCAGCACCTAACAGAAACATTTGAATTGCCACACATTCTACTGTCTGCATATTTGCTGTGGGGAACACAGGAAGATATGAGTGTTTAACAAAGAGCTGGTATTACTGACAAGCAAATGCCATGAATATTATATTTACATAGCAATGATTTGCAAGCATCAAAAATCATACCTGCAGCTCCAAAAGCCAGAGATTTTATTTTAAAAAGCATAAGATTGTTTTTAGATAGTTTGTTGCTATTTTTTTAAATTCAGCCTTTAGGTTTCCATCTTTACTTTACCTAAACTTTATTTGTATTTTAAAGGGTTTTTTTCCCAAACTTTTCTTTAGAAGTTCAAGCTGACGCTCTTCTGCAGTCTCTGTATTTCATCATCTGGGTCCTTCTGAGAGACACTAAATTACAGGTACATGACAGACTCATAAGAGTTGTCACATAGTGATGGTTTGGGTTTTTTTCTGAACTGATCAAACAATTTATCTGGAAAGAAAACATCATGTTTCTTTTCTCAAGATTTAGCTTCGCAGGTGAAGCTGATTTCCTAAGAAAAATAGCATGAGATAACCAGAAAATGCACCTTAAATCTTCCTGTCTTTGTAATTTGAAAGAAGAATCCTCCATGCCCCAGGACTGCTGAAAAGAGGACTCCTTTATATATCTTCTCCCTTGGCACCTAAACTTTGAGCTGACCTTGAGCCATCTCCTTCCCCATGTAACCCTGACTGCCTGTGGCTTGGATGTGCCCATTTTGGCTTATTGGCATTTCTGTGGTGGTGGCCAAACAATCCGAGTGGCAGAAGGTTTTGGAGGGAAAGCACAGACCTACACAGATGGCATCTGCAGAGATCCTTATTATTTTTCACAAATGACAGCAAAGAAAGGAACTCAACTCTGCATCAGGAGCAGCATTTCATTTTGAATGCAATGGTTCTGTCACTCATGGAGCTACTTTTAGCTTTAGGGCTCAGTGCTGTGCCAATAAAACTAATGGGAATTTTGTCATTGCCAGAAGAGAAAGCAGTGTTTGGCCTTTCAGAGCACCACACTTAATTCTAGTGTGCAGCCTGGCTTCAATTTTTAATGAGAAAATGGGAATAAACAGAACAAAAAGTGTTACACAAGTCCCACATCTTCAATAAATATGGAATAATGGTAGAGCTAAAATTAATACCATTTTTTACAATCTGGATAGAGAGGCGAGACAGTCTGAGGAGCATTTGCTACATCATGCACTACAGCCAAACTAATTTCTTCTTCATGTTGGCTTGGCCTTAGCGGATGTCTGAGTTCTCAACTGATGAACTTCTGTTACTCCAAGAGCAAGACAGATATTGGGGAGCAGTGCTGGACTGATGTTGGTCTGCTAGAAATGCCGTCACCTGCATAATTGGTTCAATTCACCTTTGAAGATGCCTTGTTCACTCTGAGACCTCATCCACCTCTTCTGCCTGGCAGATCAGATGCATCAGGCTCTCTGTGGAAAACAGGCTCATCTGCCAAATTTCCACTGGGTAGCACCTAAGAAAAAGAATGAACTGTTACCCCAGCTGCACCCAGAATCACATCTCAGTGCTGTATTTAAAGGTCTACCACAGCTATAACATGGACTCCAGATACAGCAAACACTGAAGAAAGAGAAGCAGATTCAACTTAGACTGCAGGAAGCACTTTTGGCCACTTAAAGATACAGACCTTTCTTTGTTAAGAAATTAACAAAGAGCCTCTAAGTTAGTCTTGATTTTGGAGAAGAAAATGTAAACCTGACCCAGGGAAAAACTCTAGATGACACTATATATGACTATATCCCTGTATCAGGTGTTCATCCGGCACTGCACACAGAAAACAAAACATCCTGCTACTTTTGTTAGAACTGCTTTACATCTGGTACCTTTAGGGTTTCCTAATACTTTGAGAAAATACTCAGCGCTGGATTGATGCAAGTGAGGAATACCAGGCTAGGTTTCCCGAGAACAGCTTCCTGGCCCTGTAGTGCACCCCCTAAAGGTAGTGGTTGAGTCTTGTTCCTGCTTGGCAGCAGTCTCAGTCCTTGACCTAATTATGAAAATGATTTCTAGAGTGTTTACTCTATATCACAAAAAAGCAATGATCATTTTTCAATCTCTTATGGTTGCAGTCTTGGCTGCTGCTTCTGCTGGCAATCAGAGGTAGTGCCTATGTCCTGTAGGATTGCCCAGAAAAGAGGAATGAGGGCTGCCTGTGGCTGGGTCTTTAGTTCTGTATGCAGAAATGAAAAGGGAAATTGCTAAAGCTTGGGGTACTTCAGATGTAATTCACAGCAGCAGCAAAATGCTCAGCAGAGTATTGCCCATTTGTTGCCTTTGAAGGTCCTTGTCCCATCATCTCTGAAAGTATAATTCAGTCATGCAGAGACCTTCTGTCTAACCCTTCCGGAGGCAAAGGTGGAAAATCAGGGACTTTCAGGGGAAGATTCAGCTGAACTCGTTAG